AATTGTGCTGAGCGGACTACCTTTCTCGAACTGAGTGGTACATGCAATACGGAGTTTTAATTAGTTCCCATTTCACTGTAAAGGCCGTCTATATTCTTTAATCATCAGATTTGAGGGTGACCTATTGTTTTTGCAAGATGGGTATTTACACACAGAAAAATGAATTTTTGTGCTCGTCACCACGTGGTTTTCTGTTTACTTCCAATTGACGCTTTAGTTTAGGTTTTTCGCCAAAATATCGGGTTAAAAACAAGAAAACACATTTTCTTTATGTATATTATGCATCAGAATAAACATTTATTTGAAATAAAAAGAAAAAACCTAAGCGTAGAAGGACTTCTTTGCGTTTAAAGAATATATGTGGCCGACATAGCCGACTCGGCGAATGGCACTCAAAGATTCTTACTGTTGCTTGTTATCCTTCAGAATCCTTCCACATAATTTCTTTGACTTCTTTTCGGTCAAATTCGCCAAAGACACGTATAATCTAAAATATTTTCACCCTACTCAGACCAGGGAGGCGTTTGAGGCACACAAAGTGGACAGCCATGTTCTGCAAATTTGCATTTTTCCTAAAAATGATTCTTAGATTTGCTGATTATTACTTTACACTTATTTTAGACCGCATTATTTAATGTAATCCAGTCTTTCTTAGGTATTGACTGATTTGGGGGGTGGGGGGACGTGAAATAAAACCTATCCAATGACAGATCTTGAGCTTAATTTACAACATTGCTTATTCCCCTCGAAAATCCACCACTTGCTGAATTTTTTATTATATATATATATATAATAAAAGAAGAATTAAGAAGCAATATATATATATATATTGCTTCTTAACTATTCTGCTTCGCTGCAAAAAAGGAAAAAATTGTTATTTGCTTGTTTGGTGGCCATATCATGAGCGGTTGGACACTTATAGATGGGGACCTCCAAAGCCCATCTCACTGTTAACATCCTCCAATAAGCAGCCAAGTTAAATTTCGAGGCTAAGCTATCGTTGCGGTTTTTGCAAAATGTGAATCCAAGAGTAAAAGTAAATCAGAATTTTTCCACTGTGTATGTCTGTAAAATAAATTCGTTGCTAAATATTTTTTGCTTTCGACGCATTCATGCCTGCCAAATATGAATCATTTTAAAAGTTGAATTGTGTAGTCTTGCACCTTACAATTTTTTCATCTTTTTCAGCTTGTTCGGATGAGAAACAGGTTACGCTGGAGCCCTTTTCAGAAGGGCGTGCTGAGTTTAGCATTCGGGGAATGACATGCCTTAATCTTCTCTAACCTTTCATAAAAGGCATTTTGATCAAGCCTAACCCTGTTAGTTATTACTCGTTCACGATTTCCAATAATTTCATGATATCTACATTTCAAATTTCGAAAAAAAAAGATTGCATAAGTACCGTTCTATCAGGATTAAAACTGGCTTATGTAAAAGGCAGTGTTTCCTAGTTAAGCAAAATATTAAACTTTAATTTTTACATTTAAGAATAAAAATCAACGATAAAAATTTTGAATGACGTTTCGATGACTCGCTCATCATTTTCAAATTCTAAAAAGATAGATTGTTAAAAGTTCTTTATATATTAAGAATGCGTGTGAAGTCTCGTTGCATGTGATTAAAAACTACAATGTGGAATGTAGTGAGTGTTAATTAGGTACTAAATAGTTTCGCTTTTATTGAGTCTGATTGAGTGTTCAGTTTGGGTTTCATCTCCTGGATAAAAAGCATTTCGTAGATCAAGCATTCAAATTTCCCACTACATTTCTTCAGTATAGTGAATTGTTCAGTGAGGTCTTTGTTCTTTTGATTGTGAGAGTCACGCAGGTGTTTTCCAATAGCTGAGTGCTTGTGTTCATCAATGCGTTTGAAAAGGTGTCGGCGAGTATAACCAACATAATCCGGATCACACAGATCACATTTGAATTTGTAAACAACGCATTGTTGATTTATTAACGGTGGTTTGGCTTCAGCTACTCTGATGTCGTCGGCAATTTTCTTGCTTGTGAAAAAGAACAAAGACCTCACTGAACAATTCACTATACTGAAGAAATGTCGTGGGAAATTTGAATGCTTGATCTACGAAATGCTTTTTATCCAGGAAATGAAACCCAAACTGACCACTCAATCACACTCAATAAAAGCGAAACTATTTAGTACCTAATTAACACTCACTACATTCCACATTGTAGTTTTTAATCACATGCAACGAGACTTCACACGCATTCTTAATATATAAAGAACTTTTAACAATCTATCTTTTTAGAATTTGAAAATGATGAGCGAGTCATCGAAACGTCATTCAAAATTTTTATCGTTGATTTTTATTCTTAAATGTTTAATTTTTACAAATGATAAAGCACTAGAAATGTCATGTACCTGCAACATACAACAATGTATCAATTCCAAAGGCAAGTATCTCGATGAAAATTACCGTCCTGGTAGCAGGGGTCATGTTCACCTTTTAACTTCAAGTTGTTTAGGTGTGTCAAGCTTGTTGTTATCAACTGGTCCTGTGAATAAATGTGCCGGTTCCAGTCTTTTAACATTAGACTTCTTGCAGTCCGCCTTTTCTCTTAAAATCCGTCTAGTTCTTATCTCAGCCAGCGCGATTGCAAACCACGACGTACAATAAGAGATTAGGACCAGATGAGAATAGACGGACTGCGGACTCTTTTGTAGTAAACAAACTCTCCGTCACCCCAGAAACGGTGTCACCGATTGGTCAATTTTACAGCTATTGACAGATGATTGACTGGTCTGTGGTGGAGATGCAAGCAATAAAATAGTCACGAGTCACAACTAACTACGAACAGTTACGAACCTAGCGGTAATCGCTTACAGAATGAAACTGCTGTAATTAAAAACGCCGTCGTTATTCGAAATTATTCTTGTAAGTTCATTCAGCGATGATGAGGGAACCATCTATGTCAGAGCGCGTGAAAAAACCATGGAAACAGTTGATTGACGTCCACGAAAACTCAGGTTTCAATAGAGAGAAAAGTCCCTTCCAGGGCGCGTGTTAGTGGTAACCGTTTTAAAAAAAAAAAAAAAAAATTTCAGTTTGTAAATCGTTTCAAGTTAGTTGGATTTGGTTGGTTAATTAAGTTACCTTGACAGCTTCGCTGTCCACAGGCAAAACAAAAGAGTCAGCACTCTTTTTTTTCTTCTTGGGCTTATGCCCTCGTTTATCGCGGATTCGCGGCTCGCGGCTTCGCTGCTCGCGTGCTTAGGTTTCTCGACTTTGCAAGAAAAATAAGAGACTACTCGCAGTCTAGTCTAACAATCATGGATTGATATTACTTAATGTAATTATCATATTTCTAATAGGTTACTGATATTACCTCTTATTAGGTCCATAGTCTGAAACTAAGGAACCACAGTCTTTTTCTTCTTTTCTTTCTTTTTCTTTGTTTTATCGATTTATGGCTCGCGGGCGAAAAATTCTCTTCCGTCGATTGTTTTAGTAAGATTACGATCCAGTTTCTTCATCAGCTTCGTTCTCCAATAAACACAGGTAAAAAATCGGAAGGAAAAAGTTAACATTCAAGTCCTCAGGATTTACAAAAATATGATGACTTTCTTTAAATCACTTTTTTTAGAAATAAACCATCTAGAGCTGTAAATTGAGCAGCGCATTTTCTTTTGAAATGTTGGTCCGCACAGCGAGTTATGGATGGACCGCAAATTGACCACAGGGGGACAACAGACTTAGCCATATAGTAAATATCATTTACTTATATTTTTTTTACTTTTTTGTTAGCTTTTAAGTTAACAAAGTTAACAAAGATTAAGATTTACAAATCTCCCAAAAGAGTCGATTCTGAAAGTTTATTTTGTTTTGCGTGATATTTTCTTGTTTACTTGTTTTTGTTTCATGACTCTGCAAATTTACACCTGTCCATAAATTATTAACATGCCGCGGGTGGCATTCCACGCTTGATTCAAGTAAAGTACATTGTGCCTGTGCGTGTGATGGGAAATTCCATTAATACAGCTACGCATCTTTAAAAAAAAAAGCTTAAAGAACTTCTTCTCAATAGTAACTTAATATTTCCTTCATCTTTTGTTACTATTATTTTTGTAAGAGCTTGTACTACTTCCGTTGGTCCATATTGTCATATAAGACTAGCTTACTTCTAGTTTTGAGGAAACCTGATTCCTTATAAGCCCCGTGGTTTCTTTCAGGTTCCTCGCCATCTGCTTCCTTTAACGTTCTTTATTGTAATGATGTGTGATATGGCGAAAAAACATGACTGAATGAATGAATTGTCTAAATTTGAATCCCTCTTCTTGAATTTGTAACAAAAACCATTTCCTAATATAGACGACCAGAAACTTCACGCAGGCCACTAACCTACCTTTTACACCACACTAAAATAGTCAGTCACCCGTATATATGTATGTGTAGACCAAGGGGTTCTACAAGACAGCGTATTCACCGACTGTCCCTACCCACGCCCAAGGGAATCTTGGTGGTTTTACCCCTCAAACTTACGAGATTCACGTGCCTTTGGGAGACACTTATTTTAAGGTAAAGTAGATGGCAGCGGGATCCCCTCCACTCCCCTCCCCCACTTTATTCCCTTATTGAAAATTATATTATTTCAAACTGGAAACTAAAAGTTTCAAAAAGAACCGTTAAAATTTGCCCAACATCTTCTGGCTTTTAAATGCATTATTGCAACTGGTACCTGTTTCTGGTTATAGGTAATTACAAGAGCCGTAATTATAATAGCGGTATACCCTGAAGGCAGCGAGAGTCTAGTGGGACTAGTATTTTCCTGCGTTTGACTTGGTAATTAGCAGGAAAATATGCTCTCATCAGGTTTATGGGCTCCTGCTCTCATATCGGTATCTTATGTTTGTTTAGGCGTGTGCGCTGGTATGTGGGTAATTAGTAGGGGTATATATTTGGGCGTGCTGGTTTTGTTTTTCATCTCGGTCTTGCTGTTCCAGCGGTCGGGTCATTTTTATTTGTTTTTGACTTTTTAGGGTGTGTGTGTTCTTTTTGCTTTTATTTTGCAGATGTTTTCAGCTCTACTATGTGGTCGGATCTTCGGGCTGCGGTTCCCCAGGGATCCAGTGCTTTACAATCCCTTGCAAGTTCTCTTCCGGATGTTGCGTTGGCTAGCAGAGCACCCAGTACTTCCTCCAAATATGTTTCTTCTTACAACAGATGGAGGTCTTGGGCACGAGAATATGGCTTGACAGTTTTTCCTGCTTCTCCGTTTCACTTTGCTATTTATTTGCGTCATTTGATGACTGAGGCGAAGACAGCAGCTCCCCTGGAGTCTGCAGTTCACAGCATTGCCTGGTTTCACCAGCTGGTGAAAAGTACTCTTGCCGGTGCGCAGCGCCGTTTGCTGGCCCATCAAACGACCAAGAAGGAGCCTATCACAGTCTCTCAGTTAGAGCAGTTAGTTGCCTCCAAGGCGGACTTAATGGCCTCTTTGTATAATATTCGTTCGGTTGTTATTTGCTTACTAGCTTTTGCTGCATTTCTCAGATTTGATGAGCTAGCTTGCTAAGCTTGTTCGATCCGATGTTAAGATCGAAGGTGACATGTTAAGGTTATTCATTCAATCTAGTAAAACTGATCAGTATAGAGATGGAGCTTGGATTGCTGTAGCTTCTTCTGGGAAAGCAACTTGTCCGGTTGCTATGATGAACCGTTATTTAGATAGAAATGGGCGTTCCTGCGATAGCCCTTTGTTTTGTCAGCTTTCCAAAACTAAATGTGGTTGTAAGCCTAGATCTAAAGGTTTAAGCTATTCAAGGTTAAGAGAGTTAGTGCTAGAGGCCTTTAAAGATATTGTTCCTGATATTTCTGCCATTTTTACGCATAGCCTTAGGAGTGGCGGGGCCACTGCTGCCGCAAATGCTGGCGTACCAGATCGACTTTTGAAGCGTCATGGCTGCTGGGCTAGTGAATCGGCTAAGGACGGATATGTCCAAGATTCTTTATCTTCTCGTTTGTCGGTTTCTAAGGCTTTAGGTATTTAGTTTTCTCGTTCGTACCGCTTTTAATTGATTCTAGTTTCTATTTAGTTACAGCTGGCCTGGGGTTTTCCTCCTAGGTGCCAGTGGACGTACGGGGAGGTTTTTCACCCAGCTGTTGTTCCACGACCTCATTTCAATTTAATTTAGCTTGTGATCTAGGTTTTTGGAGTTGTTTGTTACTTGGATTGTATATTACGTTTCTATGATATGGCATGTATCTTTTAGTCTTTTAGTGAATAAACCGAGCGCTTGGCTTGAAGCGAGCCGCACCCAAGGTTTGTGTGTTTTTCTTGTTGGGACGAACTGAGATTTAGGGGAGAGTATCTGGGAAACGCACACCGAGACCAGTTAAGCAGAATAAGCTCACGACACTCAGTAAGCAAAAAAAAATGTGACACGAATTAGCGTTGCTTTCCACGAATCATCGAGTTTACTGTTCCCAAATGCCGAATCTTGAACATAGGCCGGTTATTTCCCAATATGTTTTGCTTTGTTTTGTTTTTTTTTGTCCAATACGTAATCAGCAATTTGGCCCTTATCTGTTTTACCTTTATTAGGTTTATTGCAATTGACAGTTTTGACTTTATTTATGAGGACAGAGCAACAACTTTTAGTGCCGTGAGTTGGATTACACAATGGATGTTTTACTTAAAACAACTGTCGTTATGTCAATAGCACTTACCATCAGGAAAGGAAAATGTAAAGTGATAAAAAAGAATATTCTAAAGGGATTTAAGTTTTATAAAAGCGGAAAATAGGACATTTGTGCTTATTGAGATGACCGCATTTGTTTTTTTTTTTCTTTTTAAATAGCTCGAGATTTCAGAAATTCCCACGAGCTTTTTTCGTGCTTTGTAAAATCTGAACTCCATAAGAACACGAGGTACTCATGGGCTGTCTTGCATTGACTATCCTGACTGTCAGGTGTAGATTCACTGACATCTACAGATTTTGCTTACAGATCTTGCAGAGCAGAAAAAAAATTACACACGTCCGATTTAAGTGTTGTTATTAAGTTTCCGCGTTCTTTAAAATATTTATGTCTTGAAACATCGCCTTCTGGACTCACTTTTCAACATTAAGAGTAACAAGTGAAACCCCTACCCTTTCACGTACCTGAATTCTGAAAAAGAGACCTTTTTCGGGCGGAGCCTATACCCCTCCAGGTATAGCCCAGTATAGGGAGTATACCCACCGGGATTAAGACCTACAAGGTATAAACAAACTCTCGGATTTCTTGTCAAGTCTTGTTTAGTTCCACCTTGCTAGTAAACGACCACTTTGATCAAAGTTCCGTGTCATCGAGCACATCAACCTTAAAACTCAAACCGTTTATTGTGTATTCCTTGGATGTATGACGTTGTTGATGCAGCAATATTTCCATCAATATACCCTCAACCGATAGCTCATCGAAAAACTCAACTTTGAAAACTGGGATTTCTCGTAACTTTTTAGGTCCCTTGTCATCTGCTTCCTCGTTGCTAACATTATGGGGTGCAGGGTCTGTGGAAATTGCTTTGCTTTGTAAACTTCTCAATATTTGCTCCAACTCGTGGCATGAATCCTGACTATGCAGCACTAGCTTGCAAATTAAGTTGACTCAACAAAGAGAGAAAATGTTTTCGGAGAAGTCTTTTGTAGCTGTAGAAGCCCTTGATCTCTAAACAAGCTACTCTGGCGTCCCCTCAAGCGGCAAAAGCAACTTGTTCAACTCAATAGTTTACATCGATAGCTCTTATCGAAAGGATTACAAATGAATTTTAAATTAGCATGGAACTAAAATTGAAGACATGCTAACGTCATTTGCAATCAAGGAGGTGTAATCTCAACCAAAATAAATTTAGAAAGAACAAAGCCTCCTGTTGACAAACTTTGTATATCAATAACCAGCGGATTAGTACCTGTGTAATTACACCTTTATTTTCAGTATAACCACCTATCGAGAAGCAGGCCATTTTCGAGTAACCTTTAGCCTTTCGTCATAGTTAGTACTTGTGGTTATCCGTATCCTTTCTAATTAAGAAAAGGACTTTCTTATGAACTGTTCTTCACCATGGACTACGTTTTGAGAGAAAAATGCCCGGGGCTAATTCTGAGTCGAATGGGCTGTTTGCTTGCTACCTTATTGGATAAAACGTAACACGTGATAAAATCGTTTGATTTGGTGTTCCTTCTTCGTTTTTATTTCAAGATTTAAATATATCGAAAAAAGGAAGAGTTTGCATTTCGCTGCAAATATATCTCGCGAGACTGCCGATCCTTTGACTTACTAGGCGGGTGGGGAGTACCACGCTTGTATCAAGATACCGACGGCTTGAGACTGGTCCTATCGACTCACTTGCTCTTCAACCTGCATCCGACGAGACGTCCACGTGTTACGTAATAGCCGCCCTAAACTACCGAGCGATCTTCCGTTTACGTTAAAGGAACATCACATCCGTGCGAAGTTTAAAGGAAGCTACCAAGACCTTTTTATTGGCGACAGCTTTTAAAATCTACGTTTTATTTTTATATACATTTTATTTTACATATTTCATAGCTATTCAATTTTAAATTTCTAGATTTTTATCATTGTAATGCGCAATTAAAAATTTTACATTGTTAATTGCCCAATACATTATTATTATTATTATTATTATTATTATCATTATTATTATTATTATTATTTTCTTGTTTACTTATTTACTTACTTTAGGAAAAGCAGGAAGTTAAAAAATCGTCCCTATGCTTTAATGATTGGTTTTTTATTAGCATCTCTATTTTTCCGTCTGACTTAGACAACCTATTTCTTTCAAGAGGTCGGAAACAACAACAGAGTCGTAGCTGAATCAGAAAAGCTCTTTTCAATAAGCCGATCATATTCCGACCCAATCCTGTCACCATTTAACACTAGCCTTGAATATTCGGAAAATGAATGAAAATGAAGAAGTCAGAACATCTTTAAAGATCCAGGTGTAGTGAAAAAAACAACACTGAACGACAGACAAACGAACGGGTTATTTAAGGAATTAAGGTTCACGAGATATTGTTTAAAACAACAGGGAGAAACATTTTCTTTGTTCGTTTTCTTCCTCTTGTGTTCTTTAAATACATGGGGTTGGGCGGAAATTCGTGCCCACTTTGCTTTTCATTTTAAAATACCTTCGGTCCTCTTTGGGTTTGTGAGGCTGGGATTTTACTAAAGCGGGGGAACGAGAAGTGGTAAACAAGCACGGGAAACGGGAAAATGAAAAATGGAAACTAAAAGTAGAGCTGGGAATGAAGCTACTGATAGGGCTAAAGGCTGGTTTTCACTCGCGACGGAGTCGGAGTCGTAACCAGAAGCGTAGACCTCATGATCTAGTGAAAACAGGGTTCCGATTCCGTTGACGACTCCGTCGCTTATCTAGTGAAAACCAGATCGTCGGAGTCGGAAGCAGAAGCGGAAGGACAAAACAATCACAATGCACGTTCCCACGCTTTGTGATTGGTTTGGTTCTTCTGCTTCTGCTTCCGACTCCGACAATCTGGTTTTCACTAGATTATAAGCGGAACGTAAGCGACGGAGTCGTAAGCGGAATCGGAACGCTGTTTTCACTAGATCATAGACTCTACGCTTCTGATTACGACTCCAGCTACGTCGCTAGTGAAAACCAGCCTTTACGACTCCTCTTACGACTCCGACTCCGACTCCGACTCCAACTCCGTTGCTAGTGAAAACCAGCCTTAAGGTTCAGATTAGGTTTTGTTCCAAATTTTCATTTTCAAGTTGAGCCGCGTGTTCGTTCCCCGCCTCACGTTCCCATTTCTTTAGTTTGGCTTAAACCAAGAAAACATTATTTTGTTCTTACCCTCATTTTACATTACCATACTGAAAAGCAACGAATTAAACCAAGAATACAATTGATCCACACTGAAAGATAAAGCAAAGATTCTCTACACATCCAATTCTGCCAGCTTCTTCCACTTCTCTTGGCACTATGACATTCGGATTCATAACAATAACAAAAAATAATGATAGTTTCGGTGCAAATATATTTAAAAACATTTGCATGACTCTCAGAGCGTAGGTCCAAATAAGAATAGGCAGCTTCACTTTTCGCAAATGAATCCCAGTTTTCTGGAGCACCTTACGTCGTTCCATTTTGCTTTCCCCCCATATACGGCTACGCAATCGTGCTTACCGTCTTTATTATTCGGTTGGCCACTTTTCCACTTTTGGTAACCAGTTAACCCGGTTCCGTCTGTCCATTTGCATTCCCCTTCACTATCAGAGTCGGAAAGTCCAATCCAGTAAGGACCTTCACTACTCAAATATTCTCTTTTTATAAATTCATTTTCTTTCTCAGATTCAATCTTCACTAACTTACTACCAAAATTTTGGCAGATCAGTTTAGCATTCTTCCATTTCTGGGGTGATTTGTACAGGTTATAATTCGAAGACCCAAAAGTTGCCCATTGCGCTTTACAGGATGCTGCGAAAAAACAAGTAATTAAAAATAGACAAAAAATCATTTGGTACATGCAAACTCATATCCACCACTTTTCCTTATATATCAGCCGATTATGATTGCATTCACAGTAAATTTGTGTCTCAAGATAAACGAACAGGTCTGAAATAACAATTGTCCTGATGTGTGCTAACACACAACATAGAAATAACAAAGTCAACATGAGGAGGCATACCTTTGTCGCACTTTTCTCCTTTGAGCCCATCAACACAAACACATCGGTAGTGTTTAGCTGTGAAGCCTACCTGGCAGATGAAGTTCTCTCCAGGGCATGGGCTACTGTGACAAAAGTTCTGCTGGAAAACATGATAAATATTTAAATTACTTTAATACATCTTCTTCTGCTTTTTTTTCTTTTTGCTCTTTTAAATAGATACTCCGCGATCACTGAATGCATCATAAAATTATTTAAAAGGGAATGCTAGTTATTTCCTTTAATTCCTTGTTTTGCCTTTTCATACTAAGCTCTCTTTCCCGAATGTCAATATTATACTGGATTACCTTTCAATGAAA